ATTAAAAATGCAAAAGTTTGCGAGACTTGTAGAAGCTCGACTATAAGGGGTTTCATATACAAGCTGATTTCTTGAATCCTGCGGTAATGGATGGCATCAAAATGTATGAGGGCAATGGAAACTTCTCTGCGAGTCCTAACTACACACACCGAAAAACTTATATGCGCTGAATCAGTGAAAACAGTTCAGTCCGAACGGCCTACCAAAAATTTAGGTCTGAAAATTTAGCGGCGAACAGAAGAACTCGAATGTTTCAATACTCGAATTCGGCTAACCACCCGCTCTTTTAAGCTAGTTAGCGCATTAAGTTTGAGTGATGAGGCCGACGTTTGAAAATAGATAGTGAAAATAAATACGTTATTGGCTGATGCCAGAGCTGATGTCAAAAATAAGAAAAAAAAAAAGGTGAATGTTTCGCTTGGGAGGAAGAATTGGAACGAGTTCCCCCAGCAAAACAACCTCACTGCAAGGAATTAAACTGAAAAGGATGGTAAGAACGAGCGGAGAAACGTGGGAAAATAGGCAACCTCCAAAAAAAAATCCCCAACCTGCTTGATATTACTCACTAATTTATTTACGTAGAGAGATAGTGGCACGTAAGCAGCGCATGAAACGAGGTAGTAAAAAAGCCAATTTTCAATTATAGCGCAACAATTCACTTTGAATTATAGCGCAATAGAGAGGAAACAAGTGTTTCCTTCACGAAAGCTACACAAGAAGAGGCCCGTTACTAGTAAATGTTGTACTATTAGGACTTGAAACTTGCACACAGAAATAGTTTTATCAACAAAGTCTTTCTACATCATAGTTTACTCCAGGAACGTATTCGTGCACTTATAGTTTTTAAGGTTACAAGTGATCCAGAACAATGGAAAAGGATATGTTTGAAAAGGCTTTAAGATTTGAAAAGGGCTTCACATCGGCCGTAAGCAGTATGACTTACTCTAACTAGTAGGTTGTCAATAGTTTAACGCCGCTAGACTACGTTTAGCCCGACCACAACTGACCGACGACGTAACTGATAAGATAAACATGGAGATTCAACCGGGAAAGCGCGTTTGCCAACTTTATGTGGGAGATGTTTTGTGACGCTCCAGGGAGCTGAGAGCCGCTATAAAATTACCCTTCCAAAAAGGAAAATCACGAAAAAAAATTCAATAAAATTCAGAATACTACTTGAGCATAAAAAAAGGCAGAAGCAATTAACAAAAAACAGCATCTTTCAAACAAACATAATTGGACCATACGCTAAAGTTAAGAGTGAAGATGTAAAGCGAAAACAGGTGGGAAGTTTCGGTGGGGCAGAGGAGAGTAGGAGATGATCACTGGCTGTCATCACCAGCCCCGTGCATGCCGCCTCACACCCCCCCGGACCACCCGACCACACACATGGCAGACTGCCGAAAAATCAATATCCCCCCACTTGCAAAAAACAGCATCGTCAACGGATCGAAGCACAATCGCTTACGATGCCCAGCTTCACCACTAGGAACACGCTGTTAGGCATGAAATGGCCGACTGCAGGGTTACACTTGAAGGAGGAAAAAAAAACTGCTCTCGTATGGAGAGCGCAACCCTCTCACTGAAAGCCTTCAGGCAGTCGTTTCCTTCCGTAGGTACTTCTTGTAAAAATGAATATTTGATTGGGGACCGCTTATTAGAGTGTTCACTCATCTCTCAGTGTTTATGGAGTTGCTCTCAGTGCTCGAGCTGAGATAAACGAATTTTCACCTCTGCAATCTGCCCGATCTACCAGCAGATCATGACAATATTACCAGGGTACAGCATCGTTGTGTAAAACACGTGGGGGTCGTACTTTTCCCGCTGGGAGCAGCGGGTCTTATTCTGGTGGTCGCTGCAGGGCAGGGGGGGGGGGTCGTAAGTGGCTCTGATAGAAATTTGCCGTGTTGGGGAAACATTCTTTCCCGGTTCTTGACTTTTTGCAGTTTTTCCTGCTTCATGTGTGCGATTTACCTCCTCCCCCGGCCTCCTCCCCCTCCGCCCGACGGAAAAATTTTTGGGTGAAAATTTTTGGGTGAATAACTGGAAGATGTGGGCGAAATTGGTAGGTAGATGTTGGGAAGGCGGGGGGGGGGTGGGGGGTACCGAGACCCTCTTATGCGGAAATTGGTATTGGTTACGACTTCGAATTCAACAAGCCAATAGAATCCTTAGAATAGAATAAAATTCTGAATATCAGTAGAATGCTGATCAAGGCAGAGACTTTATCCTTCATTAGGGATGTGTTTCCCCGACTCCTTTAGGAAACGTATGGCTGATATGGGAGCAATTAGCCATCGCCCGTCCATATTAGTTAAGAGAAGCGAGAGCATAAGTAAATTTTGACGCAGCAGTACAGTAGAGTTCAATGGATGTACTGCAGCAGAAACATTCCTAAACATTATATGCAGGCGAAATCAAGGCTTACTCTCGGCGACATCGGGCTTCATGGTTGCATAAACCATGGCCGGCTTAGCTGTCCAGCACTGGACTGGAAGACTGGAGCTTAGTGAGCTCTTGATCATGGACGTCTTATGATATACAGGGGGGGCAAAAAAAAGTCACTTTGCTTCATTGAATTTCGAGGCGCTATAAGTTACACTTTATAAATCTGATCGGACATTTCTACCACCATATTAAAGAGCATATTAAATACTATTATGACACTCCGCCACAGCCTTCTGGAGGAGCGCCATCGAGAGATTCTGGCACGCAACCGCGATGTGGTCCCTGAGATCAGCGAGATGCGTATTTCCTTTTATGGGTGACTCCACACTAGAAGTTTCGCAGCTGTTTGGAGGTGACATGAATTCCAAAGGTCTTCTCCAGTCAGGCTGCGACTGGAGATGACTTCATATTTTGGTGTACATGAAGGTGATGGGCGAGAGCCAGCTCCTGCTTATCGAGGAACATCTTGGGTATCTTCCGCCCTGGTACTCGTATCCACGTCTTCTCTCTGGGCTGCGAAAACTTTGCTGATATGTGACTCGGTCGAAGTGACTTTTTTTGGCCACCCCTGTATATTCCAACCCTTC